GAAGGCCGTCTGCCCACTGTGGGGGCAGAAGCCCCTCTCCCTTCAAGGGACAGCCCTTTTAATTTAAAAACATTATATATATAGTTTTAGGGAGAGGAAGGGAGAGGGAGAGACAGAAACATCAATGATGAGAGAAAATCATGGATAGGCTGCCTCTGGGCATGTGCCCTGACTGGGAATTGAACCTTGACCTCCTAGTTCGTAGGTCCATGCTCAACCACTGAGCCACACCGGCTGGGCAAGGCACATCTCTTTTTAATATCTTCTTAATATTTAAGAAGATATTATTATTTAATCTTATTTATATTAATATTATTATTTAATCTCATTTATCTTGTATTGTCTGCTTTTTTGCATTACAACGTAAGGCAGGGAGGACCCATTTTCTGTTTTGTCCACCTGTATCCCCAAGGCTCAGAATTATGCGTGGCCTCTAACAGGTGCTAAAGGAAAACCAACAGCAATAATGTTAATCATAGCTTACTCATGGTGGTACTGTGTACCAGCTTCTAGTTTAAACTCCTTACATAAATTATCTCCTTCAGTCCTCAGAACAGCCCTACCAGGTAGGGATGGTAATTATCTCCATACTTCAGAGGAGGAAGCTGAGGCCCAGAGTGGTTAAGGGACTTGACCAAGGTTGCACAGCTAGGAAGTTGCAATGCGGTGATTGAAACCTGAGTAGCTTAACTGCAAAGTCTGGTTTTGCTAAATGGATGAATGGGGCCTGAAACCAGGTACAGAGCCCTCAGGGACTCTGGCATTGTGCCCCAAGCCCCTCTAGACTTGCCTTTCCTCGTCCCCAGCCCACATGCCAGGAGTCCCAGTCCCCATGTCCCCTGCCATGCTGGGGGGAGGGGTGGGAACCTAGCAGGTCAGGGTTTACTCTGGAGTTTGCCGAGGCACCTCCCAGGCTGCCCAGGTGGGGGGCAGGCCATTAAAAGTGGGTCTGGTGGGTACAGACTTCACTCACCAGACAGCAGGGTCAACTGCCCAGGACCCTGAGCCCAGTCCCAGACAGACAGACAGATGCTCCTCAGCCAGCTGACCACAGTTCTGAGCCTGCTCAGTGGAGCCTGCCTACCCACAGGCTTGGGGAGGCCTGGACCCCAGGGTTCCCCACCCCAGCCCTGGGATGCCACAAATCAGACCCGATCTCTGGGCCAAGGGGCCCAGGCCTCCGCAGTGCCATCTTCTGCTCTCAGCAGCTGGAAGGCCTTCTTGGACCTGCAGAAAACCAGGCGTATGGGGATAGGTGGACTGCAGCATGAGCAGGAGGTGGCCACCACCATGTCTCTCCCACTGGACCCACAGGAAGTAGCCCAGCAGACGTGTAAGGCTGTGCCCTTCACTCAGGTGAGTATGTGGTGGGAGGAGGGAGGGCTCTCAGCGTTGACAGAGAGCATGACTGTGGTGCCAGACTTGGAATCAAGCCCTGTACCCTTTACCTAACTCTGATCGTCAGTTCCCTCCCTTATGAAAGGGGGGCTGCCCCTCTGCCAGCTTCTGCAGTCACCACCCTGTCCCCCACGTCTATTTTTCCACTTAATGGCCAGAGGCACCTGTGAGCTTCTGAGTCAGATTATGTCCCTTCTACATTCAGAACCCTCTATGGCTCCCACCCCACCCAGAGCAAAAGCCCAAATTTTCCCCAGCCCACAGGGCCCTGCTCCATTTGCCTGTCCTCTCTCTGCTCTCACCTCCTCCCATTCCCCCTGCCCACTTCATTCCTGCCACACCTGCCTCCTTTTCCCCAGACTCACCAACAATATATGCCACTGGCTGTTCCTGTGCCTCTAGCACCTCCCCCCATCCTGACATTCTTTCACCTCCTTCAGGTTTTTACTCAAACGTTATTTAAAAATGCAGCAGCCAGGCTGGTGTGGCGCAGTGGTTGAGCATCAACCTATGAACCAGGAAGTCACGGTTCGATTCCCAGGCAGGGCACATGCCTGGTTTCGGGCTTGCTCCCCGGTAGGGGGTGCAGGAGGCAGCCAATCAATGATTCCCTCTCATCATTGATGTTTCTATTTCTCCCTTTCTCTCTGAAATCAATAAAAAAATATTTTTAAAAAATGCAGTACCCCCCACCCCACTTTCCTCTTTTCCGCTTTATTTCTCGCTGTAGTACACATCATCCCCTAAAAAGTGAAATTGGTTTTGTGATTGCATTTATTATCTGTCTTCCTCAGAATGTCTGTTCCACCAGGGCAGGGTTTTATGCCTTAGTCACTCTGTATTCCCTTCCCTAAGCTCTAGAGCAGAGCCAGGCGCACAGCCGCAGCCCAATGCGTGTTAAATGATGAACAACAGTAGTGCCTGCCTGCTGAGCACTTTGGGGCAGCCTGAATGAGGGGTGTGGTCAGCACTCACAGTGCATTCAGTTGGTGCTCCATAATGGCATTCATGCCCTGTGTTGTTTATGGCCCAGGCTCTGAAGCCAGGTGTACCAAGTTCTGCCTTAACTGCTGATTTATTTGTAACTCCAAGCAAGAGGGTGGGGTCACTGGGGCAGAGGGGGAAGGTGGGGAGATGAAGTTGTGGGGAGAGGCACAGAGGCAGGAGTGCAGGGTTTAAACAGAGAAGGGCCATGAACTGGGGTGAATTGATAGATCCACTTAGTTGGAGGGGATCAGAGGAGGAACTAACGTTTATTGAACTGACTGTGTGCCAGGTTATAGGCTAAAGCAGTGGTTGGCAAACTCATTAGTCAACAGAGCCAAATATCAACAGTACAACGATTGAAATTTCTTTTGAGAGCCACATTTTTAAAACTTAAACTATATAGGTAGGTACATTGTTATTAACTTAATTAGGGTACTCCTAAGGCTTAGGAAGAGCCACACTCAAGAGGCCAAAGAGCCGCATGTGGCTCGTGAGCCGCAGTTTGCCCGCCACGGGCCTAGAGTAGTTTCTTTTTTTCCTGGTTGAACTTTGATGATTTCTATGAAAGAAACTGAGGCCCAGAGACATTGAGTAACTTACCTCAAGTCACACAGCAATGACAGAGTCAGGATTTGAGCCCAGGCACATGCCTCTCAAGGTGGGGTGGAAGTGGATTGGGGGTTATTCTCATTACTCTGGCCTCCTGTCTCCCTGCCTCTGGCCCCAGGTGCTCTCCCCGCCGGGATGCATGGCTAAGCACCTCCGCAATCACCTCTGCTTTGGCCACTGCTCCTCGCTCTACGTCCCTGGTGTGGACCTCGCCCCGTTCATCCTCTGCAACAGCTGTGTGCCCGCTCGAAGGCACTGGACACCCGTGTTCCTGTGGTGCCGGGTGGGCAGCCCAGTCTCTCGGCGGCGGGTGAAGACATACACAGTGCTGGTCGAGAGGTGTCAGTGTAGCCTGAAGGCATGAGCTGAGCATCACGGACTGACAGAGACGCACACACCTCGGGGAGATGTGGGAGTCGGAAAGACACCGACCTGAGAATGTCCACGGGTCAGAGACCAGGGATGCAGGGAAAGCCAGATGGGCCTCCCGAGTCCTCACCCTGCTCCCGTGAATACCAGACAGCCCTGTAGCGGCGGACCACTCAGTCACAGCACACGCTACTGAGCACGCACTGTCGGCCAGGCCCAGCTCTAAGCATTTGCCAGGTACTTACTTGAGTCACCCTCAGAGCTGCCCAATAGCATAGAGGCATCACCCCATTTTACAGGGAAGGAAACTGAGGCCCCAAGAGGCAAAGACACTTGCTCAGGGTTGCACAACACAACATGGCAGAGCCAGCATTTGAACCCCAGACCGGACCTCCTCTCACAGAATAAGTCAAAGACACACCCCTAAATGCAGGGAGAACGGATGATCCCACCCAGGAGATACAATGACGACCCTGTCCTAGGGGCCCCAACAAACCCAGGCAGGAAAGCAGAGGTAGCTACAGGGGGACACCTGGGTTCCCCAAGTCAGAAGCAGAACCCACAAGCTCCAGCTGCCCCTCCCAATCTCCACCAGCCCCACGCCCAGTGTGGCATCTACAGGACCATAAAGGTTGATGGAGTCCAGTTGTGTGTATATGTGTGTATTTGTTCCTCCAACCGGAGTTCCCTGGAAGTGGGTGGCCCTGTGGAATGTGGGCATGAGGGGTGCTCCCTCCTCTGTTGGGCACAGGGTCTGCAGCGGACGAGGGCAGCTGGGCTTTGGGCGTCTGGAACCAGGGCCCTAGCAGATGGGCCCGTCTGGCACAGACGCAGGGACATGTGGTGCTGTCAGGGTTGCCTCCAAATGCTCCCTGGAGCGCAGGGCGGTGGTGGGGGGGGCGGTCAACTGGGGGCCCCCCTCAGCCCTCTTCCTGCCTCAGGAAGGAAGGCCCCAGGTGAGGGGAGCAGGAGGAGGGGACCCGAGGAAACAGATGGGCCAGTGGGGCGTGGGAGCCCATGACCTCTGACCCCACAGGCCAGCACCGAGGGGTGGGAACAGGCCGGGCAGGCAGCTCCCAAGGCCCTGCTCCAAGGGCTTGAGATGGGGGAGGGTCATGAGTGGCCCATGGGGGAGGGGTGTGCGCTCCCGCCTCCCTCCAGGATTCTGTGCCAAACCTCAGGCAGCGTCCGAGTGGGTAGCTCAGCCTTGGCACCATGGACACCCCTCTGGCAGGCATATGAGGCGCCTGCTTCCACCCCTTTCAGCTGTGCTCACCTCCTGCCAGCCGGGGAGCCAGCTGGGAACCTTGGTGCCAGGGGGGCCCCAGTATCCCTGCCCCCTCCTGGGCAGTGCCAAACGGCCCCCACCCCCATCCCCAGGACCATTAATGGGTGGGTAATGAGTGCTGGGGGAGCGGGGGAGGGGCGGGGATGCAGGTGCCACAGGCGCTGGCACAGGGGCTGCTAATCAGGTTTGCCAACGCCATCTGTCACCGCGCGAGCATCTGGGGCTCAAGGTGACCCTGTCACCCTCAGTTACAATTATGAGTTTGGCATCTGTATTAAAGCCCGCCAGCCGGCCAGGAGCGGGGGGGGATGGGGTGGGCATGGGGGTGCACAGTGAGCCCTGTCCCGGGGGTCCTGTTCCCAGGGGCTATGTGGCTGCCAAGGCATGGAGCTTCTCCCTGCTTAGGGGAGGTGTGTGTGTGTGTGTGTGTGTGTGTGTGTGTGTACATGCGCACCAGGTACATGCGCCAGCCTGCACAATTCTTTGAGCATGTCTGAGTAGGATTGGGAGTCTGGGTTTTGTGCATTTCTGGGTGTGGTGGCTATGCGTCTGAGTTTGGTGGGATGGCTGGCGATGGGGGGCAGCTCTGAGATCATGTGGGTACACAGATGAGTGTGTCCATGTGCTGGGAGAGGAGTGAATTGTGGGTTCAGGTGTCTTTGGGTGATGGTGTGTGTCAGGGTGTATGTGTGATGTTGTGTGTGTGTGACTGTGTGTGTGCATCTGAGTGTGTGGTGCTGTACATCTGATGGTCATTAGGCTGGCTATATGTTTGGGCATGTGGTCTGTGTGTAAGATTCTGTTGAAGTATGTGTGTGCATGCGTGTGCATGCGTGCTTGTGAGGGCAGCAGCTGGCGAGGAGGCTCTGTGTGGTCACTGCAGGGCCTCTCTCCTGCCACTTTAACCTGTTCCTGTCCTCACCACCCCCTGCCGCTCTGCTCTAATCTGGGGGCGCAGGGAAGGCAGGGGATGGCTCTAAGGAGGGCTCTAGGCTTCCGGTTGTTGTAGCTGGATTCAGGGCTCTCGGATTCTAGATTCTGAGGACAGGATCTCTACCTTTGGATATTGGATTCTGGGCATTTGGACCTGGATTTTAGATTCTGGGTCCCCAGTTCTTGGTACCTGAGAATTTAGATTCAGATTCTGGATTCTGGGATCTGGATTCCAGGCTCTGAATTCTGGTTTTGGGCTCTGGCTTCCAGACCTTGGCTTCCTGTCTCTAGGCTCTGGGTGCTGAGCCTGGGCCTGTCTCTCTGCCCTTCTATTCACATTAGGCCACTGGGCTGCCTGCCATCCCCCCACACCCTCACGCAATGGATGCAGAGACCACACATGGCCACCAGGGGACACCCTTGGTTCAGATTTGGGCCCAGATGACCCAGCCATGAAGGAGTTGGGGACGGCCCTGGCCTGGCTGGACTCAACCCTTTGAGGGGAAGGAAAGGGGCTTCACCTCCCTTCCTTCCCCTTCCCGCCTGGACTGGTGACCGATGTCTGTCAAACACGGAGAACTGGACCCAGCATCCTCCCAGACCCCCCGATCTGGGCTGGGGGCCAGGAGGCCAAGTCTCTGGGTCAAAAGCAGGGACGTTGCGGGTGTGAGAGGGCACCGTGTGCCTGGTTAGCCACACATGGCAGTGTTCTGTGGCGTGTGAGCCTGTGGGCTGTGTGGCCATGTGTGATTGGGACCAGGTGTCTGGCAGAGTCTGCATGAGACAGTGCTTCTATGGGCCGTACCTATAGCTTTGTCACTCTGGTGTGGGGTAGGGGTCCCTGTCGTATGGGTGTGTCTGATGGACTCTAACTGTGTCCCTGGGTGTCTGTGGGTGTATCTGCTGTGCCACGGGGTCCATGAGAGCGCCTCAGAGTGTCTGGGGCAGTGTCCCCACGACCAGGTCCTTGTGTGGATGGTGCCTGGTCAGTGGTGGGTGAGGTGTGCCGGACAGAGGGGTGCCTTCCAAGTGTCCAATCGGAGGAGGCACGTTGTCCAAAGGGGAGTGGAGGAAGGACCCTCAGAGCACTGGTTCCATTCTCTTCCTGGCGTCTCTGACCCTCCATCTTGCTGGGTCTCTATTGCTGGGTCTCCTCCCGTCTCAGTATCTCTGACTTTGTCTGGGAGTCCTGGTCCTCTGCCGAGTCCTGTTACCAGGCTCCGTGGTTATTGGTTGGCTCCCACCCCAGACCTTCGTCTTCCATCTCATTTCCTTTTCCTATTCTACCTCCCTTCCTTCCCCTTCCCGCCTGGACTGGTGACCGATGTCTGTCAAACACGGAGAACTGGACCCAGCATCCTCCCAGACCCCCCGATCTGGGCTGGGGGCCAGGAGGCCAAGTCTCTGGGTCAAAAGCAGGGACGTTGCGGGTGTGAGAGGGCACCGTGTGCCTGGTTAGCCACACATGGCAGTGTTCTGTGGCGTGTGAGCCTGTGGGCTGTGTGGCCATGTGTGATTGGGACCAGGTGTCTGGCAGAGTCTGCATGAGACAGTGCTTCTATGGGCCGTACCTATAGCTTTGTCACTCTGGTGTGGGGTAGGGGTCCCTGTCGTATGGGTGTGTCTGACGGACTCTGTGTCCCTGGGTGTCTGTGGGTGTATCTGCTGTGCCACGGGGTCCATGAGAGCGCCTCAGAGTGTCTGGGGCAGTGTCCCCAAGACCAGGTCCTTGTGTGGATGGTGTCTTGTCAGTGGTGGGTGAGGTGTGCCGGACAGAGGGGTGCCTTCCAAGTGTCCAATCGGAGGAGGCACGTTGTCCAAAGGGGAGTGGAGGAAGGACCCTCAGAGCACTGGTTCCATTCTCTTCCTGGCGTCTCTGACCCTCCATCTTGCTGGGTCTCTATTGCTGGGTCTCCTCCCGTCTCAGTATCTCTGACTTTGTCTGGGAGTCCTGGTCCTCTGCCGAGTCCTGTTACCAGGCTCCGTGGTTATTGGTTGGCTCCCACCCCAGACCTTCGTCTTCCATCTCAACTCCCCGCCCTGCCTCTCATAGGTTCTGTCCCTCTGCCCCTCGGTGGGTCCTTCCTCATTGGTGCATTTCTCTCCATCTCCCCGGTCTCTTCCATCTCTTTGTCTCTGTCTCTGTCTCTCCCCCTTGGTTCCTAAGTGTCTTTCTTTCCCCATCTACTGCTCTGTCTGTCTCTCTCCATCTTTGTCGCTCCCCATCTCTGTCTCTCCCTTCCTCTGCGGCGGATGGGTCCGGGTGGGTCCAGGACAGTCAGGCCAGGGCGCTGGGCGCCGGGGCGAACAATACCCCATTCACGCGGCCCTCCGGTGCCATGGCAACGCGCCCGCCCCGCCCTCCCCGCCCCGGCCACGCGTGCCAAGAGGATGCCATGGTTACGTCAGGGGCGTGCCCGCCTCCCCGCGCGCTCTTGGAGGGCCCAGGCCGGCAGGGGGCGCCCAGCTGCAGCCTCTGCCTTGAGTCAGGAGGGGCATCTTCCTTCAAGGGGCTTTCAGCCAGGCGGTGCCTCAGTTTCCCCTTCTATAACCCGTCAGGCGCGGGCAGAATGAGATCGTAGTGTGTGTACATGTGTGTGATGGTGGGTGAAGGTGCTCTTTAGGGTGGTTATGTGTGAGTACCTTTGAGAGGCAGTGGGATTGTGTGCCAAGTTGTGGGTCAGTGTTTGCATACGTGTGTGGGTGCTTAATGAAAAGTAGTTGGTTCTTTCTAGTTTGGGGGTGACTGTATGTCCGTGTGTTTAGAAATGTGTGTGTAGCCCTAAACGGTTTGGCTCGGTGGATAGAGCATTGTCCTGTGGACCGAAGGGTCCCAGGTTCGATTCCAGTCAAGGGCATGTACCTTGGTTGCGGGCACATCCCCAGTAGGAGGTGTGCAGGAGGCAGCTGATCGGTGTTTCTCTCTCATCGATGTTTCTAACTCTCTATCCCTCTCCCTTTCTCTCTGTAAAAAAAAATCAATAAAATATATTTTAAAAAAAGAAATGTGTGTGTATATGTGGTTGTATGCTTGTGAGTTCATGTGACTGTGTGTCTGTGTTTGCATGGCTGAGGGAAGGGAGAGAGAGAGAGAGAGAGAGAGAGAGAGAGAGAGAGAGAGAGATGATGTGTGTCTGTGGTTTGGGTGTGATTATATGTTTGTGATTTTGAGTTCATTGGATTGTGTGCATGTGTTTGCATGCCTGGTGTGTGTGTGTGTGTGTGTGTGTGTGAGAGAGAGAGAGAGAGAGAGAGAGAGAGAGAAAGAGAGAGAGAGAGAGAGATGGTGGATGGCTGTGTTTTGGGGTGTAATTCTGAGTTTTTGTAACTGTCATTTTTGTGTTGGGGGGGTCTGTGTTCACAAACTCGTGTGTGCTTATGTGTGGGTCTAGGAGTGGGTTCTGAGGACTGCTGGGGCCTGGCT